CTGCTCTATTTTTTACTGCAATAGTGTTCAACAAATGGTAGGTGATCAGAAAATATTTATGCAATGAGTTTAATGAAGTTAAACTACAACATACTTTATATTTTAGTGCCCTCATATTATCATCATCATCATCTGTACTCTTTAACAGACACTTTGCATACATTATCTTACTCGATTCTTAAAATAATTCTACAGGAAATATAATCTCTAATAGAGTATGTAATTTACCATCACAGGACTAGATGAACTATATGTGTCCTAGTCTAAAGTTCATCTCTACTAAACCAAAGTTTTCCAAAAATCTCCTCTGAAAACTAGATGTGAAAAGGTATTTAACAATAAAAATAACAAAAGAACCATTGTTGGTATAATAGTAGGAATCATGGGAACCAATTTTTATTAATAGTATGTTTGCCAACAGGGGAAATGGAGCAGTTTTGGCAGGAAAGGAGCATAGCATACTAGTTATTGAGGGAGAATGGGTTCTTAATAATATTTATAAAAATCTTTGTGTTTCACCCCGTCTCACTTGGGAGCACAGCAATCCTCTGAAAGAACCAATCCTTTAAGCTGTGTGATAGATGCTATTTTCCTATCCAACTACTTCACTTATGATTTCCTCACCACCCTTTGCAATCTGTTTGTTGCTGTTATTACCCAGTTTTGACATTTAATCTCTTTTAGTTGTGCTCTAGTTTTTCTGAAATGCCTCATTGGGTTTCTGATATAAAATTTCTTACGTTTGGCTTATCTTGCTATTATTTTAGTATCTAGGTACCATTCTTCAGCATTCTATTATGAATTGAATTAAAGTATATAGCATTGCTTTAGAAGTGATTGTCTCTTGAGAATCATTGCCAATTATATTATTCTAAATATTGCATTTAGGTGACAAAGAGGAAATTCATCTGGAAGGTGAAGTTAATATTATTGGAAGTCTTTCCATATTTGGTTAAAGACTCTTGATGTGAAGCTTAATATGATATTTATTTAGTCTCCATTTAATTTCAGCTATAAGTCTTCCCTCCCTCCCTTCTTTCCTCCCTCTCTCCTTCCTTCTTTCCTTCCTTCCTTCCTATATATTCTTATTGATATCTGAGAGGAAGGGAGAGGGAGAGATAGAAACAATGATGAGAGGGAATCATTGATTGGCTGCCTCCTGCATGCCCCCTACTGGGAAACGATCTTGCAACTCACGCATGTGCCCTTGCCTGGAATTGAACCCTGGACCCTTTAGTCTGTAGGCCGACTCTCTGTCCACTGAGGCAAACCAGCCAGGCCTCTTCCTGCTTTCTTTATGAGGCCTCATCTCTCGTTATCTGACTCCTTTACTCAAAACCCTCGTTTGTGCCCTTCTTCATACAGAATGCTGCCTAATTTCTTAGAGTGGCATTTAATGACCTGGCCTAGATCTACTTTTCACATTCACCTGTACCCTCCCACACCGTGCTCTGTCATTAAACTCCTAATAGTCCTTTATTTTTCCTTTCATTGTTTTTGGTTAACATACTATTTTATTCCTCAACTGTGTGCTTAAGGCCCTCTGGGTGCTTTAGCAAATCCACATTGAGTCTGCAGGTCATTTTAAATTTTCTAGGGTAACAGGTGACATCTACTAGGTTAAACATTTGAACCACTAACTCCAAATAGTTCTGTTTTAGCATTGCACTGCTACTTTTCTTTGGGTGATATCAGATACTTGGAAAACTGGAGTTTGGGTAGTTTCTGTGATTAAAAACAGCAACAAAACAAGCGCTATACAAAAAAGCTTTGTGACACAGCAAGTGAGAGTGGTGCTGACAGTCTGATTCCACGTTTGAAAATTTTACAGTGCGCAATAGGCTCTCAATTATTAGGAAATAAATACTAGGTTGTTTGGAACTAATAGAATTGATTTTACCTTAGGAAACCATGATAAAATTCCCGATAGGAAAGGAGGCCTGAGCTCTGTGCTGTGCCTCTGTTTCCAGTTCACAGCCATTTTTGAAACTTACACCCGTTCTTCAGAGACCAGTTGGTAACGTCACCCATCTCTGGATGTCTCTTCTGATCTTCCTTCGCTTATATTTAATTTCCCTCCTGGGTGTTTCCTGGTGGTATTCTACCTTTACTATTGCTTTTAAAATTGAATTCAACTATGTTCATGTATTTATTTAAAGTCATCAATTATAGCTGTCGTTTTCTTATTCATTAGTTAGGGGTAGTTACTTACAGTATAATGAGAGCCCTTTCGTTCTCGGGATAAAAGTGAGCCAACTATAATAATAGGTATCATTTAATGATCTAAAGTACATTTCTTGTTAGTCTATTTCTAATCCTTAAAACATGCTCCTGAGATCATAGGTTGTATGATCAACATTATATTTGAAGAGATTGTGATTCATCAATATTGCTTTCCAGAATATCGACACACTTCCTAACCTTTAGCTATTCTAGTTCCTTTTTTTTTTTTCTTTTTTCTTTTTTTCTGTTGATTATTGAATCAGCTTTTTGGTATCTTCAGAAATCCTATTGAGATTTTGATTAGTGTTGCAGTGAATCTTTGAATAAATTTGGGGAGAATTGCTATCTTAAGAATATTTAGTTTTCTAATTCACGCACATAGAATCGTTCTATATAGTTATTGTTGGTGGGGGTTTTTTAGCATTATTTTGGGGCTTTTTTTTTTTTTGCAGTGTTTTATGTATAGGTCTTAGACATTTTTTTTAATTGGTCCCACTATGTTTCATTTTTTATACTACTGTAAATGGCATTGTTTTCCTAATTTTAATTTTCAGCTATTCCTTGATAGTACATAGAATTACATTAGATCTGTGTACAGTGATCTTGAATCCTGAGACTTTGATAAAGTCACTTTTTAATCCTAGAGATTTTATGTATATTCTTATGATTTCCTTAAACATGCACAGATTGGTGTCCTGCCAAAGCCTCCAGAGCTGCTTTATAGAATTTCAGCTCATTCCTCTCTGGGACTCTCTTTCAGGTTCTACTCTTCGGGCTCTCCTTAAACACTTTATTTCTGTTCCCTCATTTCAGTGAGAATGCCAGGCTCCGTTTGGTTTCTTCCTCCCTGCACCAAGTCTGCAAATTGCCTCCTGGCAGAGAGCCTGCATGATGTCAGGGCTCACCTTGTTTTCTGTCAGAATCATAGTCCTGCCCTGTCCAGGGTCTGAAAATTCTATAGTTGTTTCCTTTTAGTTTTGTTTTTAAAGTATACACAACACAAGAGTAATTCTGGACCTTCTTACTCCCTCGGGGATAGGGTAGAACTTAAAGATGGGTATTTAAGGATGTACTATGCATACCTAAACAAAGAGAGGCTGGGCAATTTATTTTGGCCAAAAGAAGGAACATAAGGAGAGGCTCTGAACAAGATTGCATCTCTTTCCTGGAGAATTTGGAAATGTAGTTGTGTCTTTGTATGATAGTCTCTGTCATTTTCCTCTAGTAGACATGCATTCAGTGTTATTGATTGGATATCAGAATGGTCAAAAACAGATTGCTTAGGTATTGGCAACACATTGTTTTGGAGGTAATGTTAGAGATGTACTAAAATTTTAACAGAACTATTAGCAGATCTCCCTATATAAAAGCCTAAGTGACTGTCACTACCAAGCGGATGACCAGATAGGCTGCGTGAGGTGACCAGGCCAGCTGGGCTTCAGTTGGGGCAACCAGGCCAGCAAGGGGGGCAGTGAGGGATGATCAGGCCAGCAGGCAGAGGTGGTTAGGGGTGGCCAGGCAGGGGTGATCAGGCAGGCTGGCAGGGGAGCGGTTAGGAACCAGTGGTCTTGGATTGGAGGGGGATATCCCACTGCCTATTTAGTCCAGGGATCGGGCCTAAACAGGCAGTCAGATATCCCCTAAGGCACATGTGTCAAACACAAGGCCCGAGGGCCAAATCCGTCCCGCCAGGCCTTGCAATGTGGCCCGCACCGCGCTGTCATCACTGCACTCCGCTGCGTTTCCATCACAATGACAGTTTATGACTGTTCAGTAAACCATTCGGCCCGCGATTTAGGCTGGATTTTAGATTTTGGCCCTTTCTCTGATTGAGTTCGACACCCCTACCCTAAGGGGTCCCAAATTGGAGAGTTTACATGCTGGGCTGAGGGGACCCCGCCCCCCCCCCCCCCCCCGCACAAATTTTGTGTACCGAGCCTCTAGTTAATTTATAAACTTTCAAAAAAAGGTTTTTTAATCTTTCAACTTTCTTGATAACATCCTTACTTTCTCAGTTAGGTTATTAAGTGATTTGAAGCCATGAGCATGGCTTCTTATTTTGTGTGTCTGCTTTGGCTTACTAAACTCTTATTTTAAATTGACGAACTTTTGAATAGAAATCACTGATCAAGAATAAAGTTTTCACATTTTGTCAGTGTCCTAAATATGCTGATATCAAAAATAGAGTATTTAGACTTTCTACATGAACAAAAGTAATGTGTAGAACAAGACATATTCTTGGCTGCTATATTTGTACTTTTTGTATGTCTGGTTTAAAGTATTTAATTCTCAACAACCTTATGAGATGTTCTTTATATATATATTTTAAATGTACAGATGAGGAAAATGAGGCATAGGAATGCCTAAGTGACATTCTTACCCATACAGCTAGTAAATGACAGAGGCAAGATTTGAATCCAGACTGTCTCAGTAGATGCTGGGCTTCTAATGATATTGCTATACTACTTCTATTGGGAATCGCTATTATTTTTCTGTATCAAGCCAGCATTGCCCTAAGGTCTTTATGATTTTAGATTCTGAGTTCTTAACCACTATGCTCTATTTCTGTCCCCAAAAGTAGTATAATAAGTTTTTTTTGTGTGTGATTGTTATATCAAATCTGTTATCATAAATGGTAGTGCAGGATGGAAATTCCATTCATAACAGCCACAGTTTCTAATAAAGTATCTCTTTTATGCCACTATCTACAACAGAATACTGAACTATGGTGTACCATTTTCTGACACATTAAAATTATTTATGTTCCTATTTTTCAGTGGATGATTCAGAAGCCACACAAAGCAGCAACATTTTTTGGATGCATTGGGATTGATAAATTTGGAGAGATCCTGAAGAGAAAAGCTGCCGAAGCGCATGTGGATGCTCATTACTATGAGCAGAATGAGCAGCCGACGGGAACTTGTGCTGCGTGCATCACTGGTGGCAACAGGTCAGCGTAATTCCCAGGGAAGCTTGTACTAATTGGCCATTTCAACACTGATAAAATCTGAATTCCAGTCTAATTTTGGAATTTAGATCTCACATTTATAATTGCTCTTAATGTTTAATAAACTCTTCCTTGTATCATTTTTTCTTTCTTTTTTTTTAATTGCCCTTTTGAACCTGCTGTTGTCTTCTTGTGGTATAGTGGAATGAAATTTTTGAGATTATCTAATCTAATATCTGCTTCTTATAATTAGGATCAGAGAAGGAAAACATTTTATTCAATGTTTATAGCTAGCTTTTTGCTAAACTGGGATTAGAAAGACACATACTTTTCACCATATCCTGAGTTTGGAATATTGGACTACATACTTACATCTACACATTCATATGTAATTTTTAACATATACAATACTATGTTATATCCAGTCTCACATGAATTAGGTCATCTAAAGCATTTTTGGCAAATAGTCAGTCATCCATATTAAACAAATTTAGCCATGGATAATGTACCACTCAAAAATAATCCATTGCATTTCTATACAATTTTATTTATTAAAAATTCTTCTTTAAGTGAACTTTGAATTTATCCTCCAGGGCTCCCATGCATTGGTTGTATTTGTGTCTTTGGCAGCTACATGGAGGTTTCCTTTCAGTACATTCATACATTGCTAACAGTATTGTTACCATATTACTCATCTGCTCGGGCTTTTTCCCTCCTGTTCAAGTGAAAAATAAAGTAACTTTTCTAAATGTTAAATTCTTAGAATCACCAAAGCTGATCTTTTTTTAAATAGTGATTCATTAGATATTTTATGCTCTATTATAGCTAGAAGTATTTAGTCTACTCTCTTCCAGTTCTTTTTTTTTTAAAATAATATATTTTATTGATTTTTTTTACAGAGGGGAAGAGAGAGGGCTAGAGAGTTAGAAACGTTGATGAGAGAGAAACATCGACCAGCTGCCTCTTGCACACCCCCTACCGGGGATGTGCCCACAACCAACATACATGCCCCTGACCAGAATCGAACCTGGGACCCTTCAGTCCGCAGACCAACGCTCTACCACTGAGCCAAACCGGTTTCGGCTCTCTTCCATTTCTTATCTCCCTGCCTTTCCCACCTTTTTTATTTGCCTCTTTTTCTTCCTTTATTTCTTAGCTTCTCTCTCATTCCCTTGTTCAATTCCCCTTTCTTAGTTCCTTTTATTTTTGCTCATTCTTTGACCTCCAGAAAATGACACTAGCCCTGGCTGGTTTGGCTCAATGGATAGAGCACATGTGTCAAACACAAGGCCCGCGGGCCAAATCCGTCCCGCCAGGCCTTGCAATGTGGCCCGCACCGCGCTGTCATCACTGCACTCTGCTGCGTTTCCATCACAATGACAGTTTATGACTGTTCAGTAAACCATTTGGCCCGCGATTTAGGCTGGATTTTAGATTTTGGCCCCTTCTCTGATTGAGTTCGACACCCCTAGGATAGAGAATCAGCCTGCGGACTGAAGGGTCGCAGGTTCGATTCTGGCCAAGGGCACATGCCTGGGCTGCAGACTTGATCCCCCAATAGGGGGGAGTGTGGGAGGCAGCCAATCAATGATTCTCTCTCATCATTGATGTTTCTATCAACTCTCTCCCTCTTCCTTCCTCTCTAAAATAAAATATATATTTTTAAAAAAGAATCTGACACTATTTTGGCAGTAATCATTAAATAACTATAATATAACTTTCAAAAATAGAGTGCCAAAATCTTCCAAACCTGCTTGCCTGCCTGATCACCCTTAACCGCCTCTTGCTGCCTGCCTGATCACCTCTACCCACCTCTGCCTGCCAGCCTGATTGTCCTCGCCTGCTAGTCTGTTCACCACCTAAATGCTTTCCCCTGCCAGCCTGATTGCCCCTAACTGCCTCTGGCTTGGCTCCTGCCATCATGGCTTTGTCTGGAAGGAAGTTGGACATCCGAAAGATATCCAGTCAACCCAGTCTTTTTAGCATATTACCCTCTTATTAGTATTTATTAGTATAGATAGGTAATGTAAATAATTATTAAGTTTAATTGTTGGACAATAATAAAAAGCTCTATGAGGCACTTGTAGCAAGAATTTAAATGTAGTATCCTGCTTAGATTTTTCTACTTCGAAACTGGACCAGGGCAGGGAGGTTTCAACTGTAGAAGCTAATTTAAATTTATTCCAGTCCTTAACATTTAATTCTTGGCAAATTAATTTCACATAGTAAACATAGTCTTTATATGTATCTTGTAAAATTAATTCCATACTTGGCTTTTAAAGCATTAGGTTAAAAAAGAAATATATAGAAGTTTTTATTTGAATATTTTTATGCATAATGGCATTATAGCTTTATTTCATAACTGCATTTTGAACTATTAAAATGTAGAAAGTAGATAATCATAGCATTTAAATATCAAAAAGAAACTTAAATGCCAGTTTCTCAAAATACCAGGTGGTATTTAGAAAAAGGATTAATATCTCTGTTTATCTCACAGGCAAACAGAAGTCTCAAGAGTTCTCAAAACAAAATTTATTTACATTTATTAAAATCAATATACAGCAGTTGTGAAGAATTAAAATATAAAACCAAATTTGCAAAAAATACTGTTAATTAACTGTATAGAAGTATATGACAAGTTTGCAATAAAAAGAATAAACTATATATCTGGCGCAAAAAAACTTACTTGCTTTTTGTTGTTTTAGGTCCCTTGTAGCTAATCTTGCTGCTGCCAATTGTTATAAAAAAGAAAAACATCTTGATATGGAGAAAAATTGGATGTTAGTAGAAAAGGCAAAAGTTTATTACATAGCAGTAAGTACTTATCTAATTCAAATTTCTGGTATATGTTTACACTATAAATTATAGTTGTTAGCTGATATAAATTTTTAAATGTCTTTTGCTTATCCTGCAAATTACCCATCTCAAAGCATATGTTCACTATTAAACATGTAGAATAGTAATATGATCATTTTAGGTAACATAATTTGTATTATTTACCTTCAAATCTACCTCTTTTGGGATACATTATGCATAGATGTTTCTTAACCAAGTATCAAATTCCTGTAAAATCTGTTTCTTAAGGTCTTTTGAGGTAATTCTGTGAATTTACATTTTATATTTTTAGGCTACTTCTGAATAATGCATGCATTGTATGGGGAAATATTAGTATTCTAAATATTCACTGCAAACAGTTTGAGCTTATTTACCTAAAAAATCCTAATTGCTATTTATTCCATAGTAATTACCATGATACCTTTTAATTTAATATTTCAGAAACATTGATTGTGACAAATCTCTTGAATCTGGGAATAAGGGCAGCATGTAATTTGAATTATTAAGTCTTCTGACATGAAAATAATTGGTTAAGAATTTATTTCTAAGATAAGACTGGTATAAATATCCTCCTGAATTAATCACCCCATGAACATCTTGTTTTTATATAATCTGAGTTAAATGTGGCTGACCAAAAATAAGTAGATACCTTTGAAAAATTAAAAGTACCTCATAAGCATATAATGTATGATTTTGATATAACAACCTCTGCCACTCACTATTTGATCTGTGAAAATGCTAGTAACATGTGTAAAAAAATTGATTATCTAATAAGAACGTGCTTATTGAAAATATAATTATTTCTTTCAGTCTAGAGTTAATGTCTCCTACAGCATGTTTATGTACACTGCTGTAGGCTTTACAAGGTTGTTATTGATTCCTCTGTATAGCAAACCCTACCCCTTTATAAATGTCAAATAAATACTTACATTTAGAGGATTATATAGAGGAAAGACATTTTACCTCTTCTGCCAGTGTAGGAGAACAACATTTCAACTAAAAAATATTCTCTCTTGATCATATTCTATTTCATTTTATTTTGCAAAATGTTCTCATTTTTTCTTGTTGTTAATGTCTTGGTAGCATATTTTTGTAGTGAAGCTTTTTAGGGAGATTTATTAAGTATTTCAAATCATCTTACATTTGAAAGTCTGATTTTCAAAGAGTACATGATTTAAATTTTGACATTAATTATGTTATATTATTTATATTGACTATGATATATGACAATATTTATGATGGAAAAGTATTTTTTACTGACAGTTACAATTGTCTCTAGGTAAATATATTGTAATTGGACCACAGATCATGAACTAACTTGGAAACAACTCACGTTTTAACAGTTATGCACATGTAAGCCATATAGCAAAGTTTGAGTGAATGGGGAATTGTTATAGCAGCATGAACCCAACTTGCAAACAATTCATAGTTTCAGCAATTATGTACTATAATGCATCTAGCCAGCTTTGGGTGAATGGAATTTTTATGAGAGTATTAACTATTTACACAAGTGCTATTTTCTATAAACTATGAAGTGATTAGTTTTGGACAAGTTAGTGAAGAAAATAGAATTATCCTTGAAACGTGTAGTGTATGAGCCAGAAGAAAATACCAGAATGGATTCCGGTTGATATCTCTGATGATAACTGTTAGCCTTTAGCATCTATTCCAACAATTTCATAAAAAGAATGCTCTTTCAAGTTGCTGGGATGTAGACATTCCGCGCTTCTTTTAAGTCTTTAATTCCCGTTGAGCACAGAGTATCCAGTCTAGTCTTTTCTTAGCATATTTTCAAAATAAAATTTTAGATAGAGTAGGTATACTAGTAGCTATTCTTAATCAAATCAGATGTACTCCTTCCTATCTTCAGGTTCCATACAATCATCAGTCTTCTCACATCATTTTAAACTCCTGAGATTTTAACAGGTTGAAGTTCTGGGAGCCCTTCAATTACAAAAAGTTCTTGATCTAAGGAAGCAACTCAACATGTCTATCAACAAATTTCCAAAGTTAAGACATCTGTCTGCATTATATAAAACTACAGGCCCAGTGCATGAAATTCAAGCACTCGGGGTGGCGGAGGGAGGTTCCCCAGCCAGGCCTGAGTCTTCTCACAGGCTGAGACCCCTCAGGGGATGTGCGCCTGCCAGCAGTCAGACATTCCTCTTGCATTCCAGGGTCCTTGCAGTCCAGGAACCCTCACTCCTTACCGCTCACCTGCAGTAGAAGCCAGAGAAGCTCCGCCACTGCCGCTAAGCTCACCAGCCATGATGAGCCCAGCTTCTGGCTGAGTGACGCTCCCCTTGTGGGAGCACACTGACCACCAGGGGGCAGCTCCTGCATTGAGCATCTTCCCCCTGGTGGTCAGCGGGTGTCATAGCAACCAGTTGTTCCATCACTTGGTAGATTTGCATATTAGGGTTTTATTATCTAGATTAAACCAGATCTACATATTCAGGAATTCTTCTTCCCAGTGTTCCAAAAATTAGCAGTGAGCACTAAGATAATTCAAAACCTTAATTATTCAACTAAAAGGTTGACATTGTTACTTTGTACAAAATAATATGATCCAACAATATGTTGCCTGCAAAACATGCACGCAAACACACAAATAAGTTATAGTAAAATACATGTTAAAAATAAATACATAGTAAACTAAACATATTAATAGGTTAACTGAAAGGGTTAAAAAAGATATACCATAATATCAATAGTAGAATTTTGCATAGAAATCTATGCATTATTTCCAATAATTCTTTTTTATGAGAAAAAGTTTCCTTACAAGTTTCAACTACACTGTAAAGCACAAATTAGCTTGCAAGTTTAGGCTTAATATAGGAAGAATTTTAAACTTTGGGGATTAATCAGATATTTAAGAAATAGGTTTAGCCAAAGCTTTCAGCACCTTGTGACTTATTTTGCATAAACTAAGTCATCTGCATGTGTGTCCTTATTTATTGAAAAATTAATTACTACACACCTGAAACCTTTATAATTTTATTAACCAATGTCACCCCAGTGAATTCAATAAATAGGTAAAATAAAATAAAATTCCTTTATTTACAACTTTTCATTTTTACTATAGATTTCTAGTGGTATATAAATTTTTTTCTAAGCATTGATTTGGCTGCCTCCCACAAATTTTGACATTTCATTTTCATTCAGCTTGTAATACTTTCTACTTCCTCTTTACTTTCTTCTTTAAAGTGTGTTGTTTATTTTCTTCTTTCTGTGCATTAGAAATTTGTATATTTCTTTCACAGTTCTCTCAGACTTCTTGTATTTTAAAACTCTGTTATTAGTGCATAAAGGTGTAGAATTAATTGTTTGCCTCATTACCACTTATTTATTCCTGGTAATAGATTTCCCCCCAAAATGTGCTCTGTGTGAAACACAGGTATTAACACAGCCAGCCCAGCTTTCTCTTGACTATAACTGAAAGAATAGTGAATTATAGTTTGTCAGTAATTATCTGAGACTATGGGACTTGGAGTTTGCATTTTCCTCTGGCACCTATGCTTGTTTCCTTCTTTCTATGAATTGTTTTAGTTCCTATGGTTTATTATAGACCTTCTTCTCTGTCTATATTTATTTTGTAACTCCACATTGGTTTTATCTCTCCTCAGCCTAGAATCTTACCATTTTGGGGAATATATTTTTGAGAGAGTATGGTTTTCAAGTGTTACTAATGTTTGCCTCTGGGATTAAGAAAAGTAGGATTATAGGCAGGTGCAGGAAATATAATTTAGAGAGTATAAAACTTTAGAGGAAAGGATTAGAGTTCATACTTGGGGGGAAAAAGGAGTGTTTGTTTATAAAAGACAAGTAGTAATCAGCAAAAATTATTTGGGTTTTCTATCTCTTTGTTTGCTCTGGTTGAGTTTTCTACTAAAATTCTTATTGACACCATGAATAATAAGTTTTATTTGAACTGTTACTTAGACTCAGTTACAATATCTTTATCAGTAATCTGAAAGGAATAACTAAAGTCCTTAAAATGAAGTGGCATGATAAATTAAGAAATCACATATTTGAAATTTTACATGTTAAAAAAAGGTAAAATGTTGAATAATAAACTGTATCATGAAATATAAAATTACTATTTTTTAAGGATTTGTTTTCCATTTCACTATATTTACAAAAAGACACACTTACAGCCCAGCTGGCTGCTCGCTGTTTTGGAGCATCATCCTGTACTTCAAAAAGGTTGCAGGTTAGATTCCCGGTCCGGGCGCACACCTGGGCTGCGGGCTCAATCCCAGTCAGGGCGGGTATGGGAGGCAACTGATCTCTCTCCCTCTCCCCCTCCCTCTCCCTCTCCCTCTCCCTCTCCCCCTCCCTCTCCCTCTCCCTCTCCCCCTCCCTCTCCCCCCTCCCTCCCCCCCTCCCTCCCCTCCCTCCCTCTCCCTCTCCCTCTCCCCCTCCCTCTCCCCCTCCCTCTCCCCCCTTCCTCCCCCCTCCCTCCCCTCCCTCCCTCTCCCTCTCCCTCTCCCTCTCCCTCTCCCTCTCTCTCTCCCCCCTCCCTCCCTACCACTTTCTCTCTAAAATCAATAAACATAAACATATCCTTGAGTGAGGATGACGGTAGTTGCTTGGCCACTGTGACTCAGTGTTTGGGCATTTACCTATGAACCAGGTAGGTGGTCACAGTTGGATTTCCTGGTCAGGGCACATGCACAGATTGCAGGCTCAAACCCCAGTAGTGGGCGTACTGGAGGCAGCCAATCAATTATTCTGTCTCATCATTGATGTTTCTATCTCTCGCCCTCTCCCTTCCTCTCTGAAATTACTAAAAGTATATCTAAAAGAGAAAAAAATATGTGCTTACGTAAAACTTTATTAGAAATTATAAAAGATTCTTTTTATTATGCTAAAAAAAATAATGTGTCATCAGGCATTTTTACCTTTGTCATGAAAATATTTTTAAAGGCTCATAATGAAAGTGAATGAATTTGTCTTACAATATTAGCCTAATAGAA